TTAGCCAGGACGTCTCTGAACCAACACCAGAGACTTCAGTCCTGGTCTGACATTGCAACCCATCGCACATCCACTGCATGGCAAGAGCCATGGAGCTCAAGGGGACGTACTCCAAGGCCGGAGTGTATAGGCCAGTCAGTCCAAGGGGAATTCCACACACGGAGATGCCACTCCTAACCATCAAAGCGCACGCAATGCCGTCCCACCTGTGCTTTCTTAACAGACTTTCTCTGGAAAGAACAAGATGGATGTGCTGGTGGGAAAACAACGAGCAGTCTGAGCATCCATAACATATTGTAACTGCAGTAGAGGAATTGCACAACAAATTGGAATTAACTGATCAACCGTTCTGAGAATTGTAACTCTTTGTGGTGAATGGGTGTTTTCCAGCAACTCTTAGCCCCAGAATTATTTGAGATTGCAGCAATAAGGATAAAGTATTGTAACTGGAGCATTTTCACTGGAATCAATGGGAAAAATTAGCCCTGATAGCCGTAAGGTCCTCTTAATTCAGTTTGGTTAATTCATGATTCAGTGGGGATCCAGTGGAAGCAAAATAAAAAATTATTGGGTATTTTGAGAAACTGGGAACTGGAACTCCTTAACTATGGGCTCAGGACTCATGGAGGAATTCCTACATATATAAGCACACAAAGTCATTGGTTGCAGAGGCCACGTAAAATTAATAGATACCAACAGTGTTTTTTTTGTCATAGAACGCACTGGAATGGAGTTCTGGCACCTTTTTTTGACAGATTTTCCAAGTTTTAAAAGTAACTTTTGAAAATTTGATGTTTGGTCTGTGTGCCATGCGTACTTCACACTGGTTGTGATGAAGCTGCTCGGCTTGTGGTGCTGCTCGGCTTGTGACTGGTCATGTGGTCGCGCGCTGAGTGCTTATTGCGGGCAGCGACTGTTATGTTTCGTTACACAACTGACGTGTGTGGGTGTGTGTACAGTGATTGACTACATGCGAAAGGTAAATAATTTCATGAGTTCCAGCACCATTTTTCTTACAAAAAACGCACTGGATACCAAAGACTGATTGTCAGTCCTAAGAGGATAGAACATTTCTATAAGCATGGGTAATAAGTGCCTGAGTTTGCACTTGTGATATGCATGGGGGCGGGGGGTGGTCAGGTGCTTCTGGACCAGGATTTGTCCCTGGAATACCCGGTGAACTTGGTGTCCAGGGGTGCTTTCCTCGAGCTGCAGCGGATATATAGGGCCACGCAGTTAGTGACGGGAGCTCCTAGATCCACCCCCATAACACTATATTGAAAGAACTGTATTGATTACCAATTGTGGCCCAGGCCCAATTCAAGATGCTTCTGTTGATATATAAAGCCCTAAACAGCTTAGGCCCTGGTTACCTCAAGGAGTGGCTACACCCACATATGCCTACCCAGTCTTTGAGATCTACGCAGGGAGCCCTCCTGTGTGAGCCATTCCCTAGGGAAGTGGGAGGGATGGCTGCTAGGAAGGGACCTTTGCTGCTGCTGCTCCCCAGATGTGGAAGGCTCTCCTCAAGGAGATTCGCCTGGCGCCTTCTTTATACTGTTTTCAGTGCCAGACGAAGACCTTCCCTTTAAAAAAGCATTTTAATAGTTGACACTATTAAACTCTCGTTGTGTATCTTGATCTGTATTTTATCAGTATTGTATTTTTTAATTGTTGGTATTAGTTTTATTGCACATTTTATCTTATGATTGTGAGCTGCCCAGAAGTGCTGTGGCACAATAGGCGGCAAACAAATGCTTTAAATACATAAATTAAATAAGTGCAAATACAGGCACAGGCCCCCAGATGCTCCCCGTGCAGCGGATCCCTCTGGATGAGCTGCATTCAGCCCGCATGCGCACGCCTCCTGCCACATTCCCCCCCCCCCCCCCCCCAGCATCTCTCTGCAGGTGCTTCCTCCGGAAAGCAAAGGCCCTCCTCTCTTCTGCCCACAAACCCCTTTTTAAAAGCAGGAATCGCTTAGACCCGGCCCCTGACAGGCAGACAGGCACACACAGCAGCACAAACAAAGGGGGAGCCTTTAGTTTAGGGCAGCGGTTGGCAACCCGTGGCTCTTGAATCCATCTGCTGCGGCTCCGTCGCTCAAAACGCGAGGTGGTACAGCCACCCCATCTGAGACCGAGGCTCCAAGTTACAAAATACCAATAGGTGGTGATGAGACATCCAGTCAGGAACCACCCCCCCCCCCGCTAGCTGGTTAAGTAAATTGCTACATTCCTCTGCTATTGTGCAGGGAAAGAGTGGAACAAGCTTCCTGCAGGCTCTCACGTTACACAAAACCTGCTGGAAAGATTCTTTGTCCAAATGTAATATCCTTCCTCTGAATGATAAAAGCTGCGCTTGGGACCTGTCACAATTCACAGCATTTGACTGCTTATCTGCTAATCAGTCTCTAAACACACCTATATCTGGGACTCCGCACCCCCCCCCCGCCTCCCGTAGGCCAACCATGGATAAATCAAAGAAAAGAAAAGTTTCTGAAGAAAACCAAACATTTAATGATACGAGAGTAGATTCATTTGCTTTTACTGCTGACGAACTTATGAGGTTTGCTGTTTAATGCATGCAGCCCTTTAGCACTGACTTTGACTCTTCAGGAAACTGTTCTCCTAATCAAAATATATGAAAGGAGTCCTACTAGCTTATAATGTAAGATTAAAAATAACAATTTTTAGTGACTAAACAAGAGCTGCAGCTAAATCATAATGAAGATATACATAGCATTAAGGTGAAATACGATATATGCAGTGTTATCTTCATTTTAGATCTCAAAAGGGTTTTGCGGCTCCCGGTGTTTTCTTTTGTTTGGGAAACGGGTCCAAATGGCTCTTTGAGTGTTAAAGGTTGCCGACCCCTGGTTTAGGGCATTTGTAAACTGGCCCATGTAGAGTCTTTCTTTCCACCCTATGGGTCTGAGTCCTGGGCCATTTGGGTGCTTAGCACCACCCTGTGGCGGGTGGGGATGTGGAGAAAGAAATTTTCAGCTTAAAACTACTTAAGAGTTTCCCACTTGTTGCTCTCAAACACCTGACATTAACCATTTGTGGCTCTTCTGTTCAGCAAGTCTGGCCACAGCTGGTATATTCTAAATCTGCAACAAAATAGATTATTCCTTTATTTATTTCCTGTTTTGTTTCCTTTTTTCAAGGACTCAAAGTGGCTTATATCCTCCTCCTCCTCCAGCTCTCAGTCTATTCCCACAGCAACAACCCTGTGAGGTAGGTAGGACTAAGAGTCTGTGACTGGCCCAAAGTCACCCAGCTGGCTCCATAGCTGAGCGGGACTAGAACCTGGATCACCTGAGTCCCAGCGCTCTTAACCACTGCACCATACCAGCTCTTTATATAGATAACTATATACAAAGTTAAGGGGAGAAATATCTATGTACACGGCAGTTGAAAAGAAGAATGCATACACAATTCTACCTCTGATGCTGCACTAAAAATGGTTCCTCGCCTGGATTTTAAGGTGCCCTCTGCCCACCTGGACACATCAAGGGGAGCCCCCCCCCCCCAGAGGAAAGTGCCAGGGAGGAACTTTCCGGGAAGGGCTGGGAAGCCCCCCCTTCCCACCCCCCCCCCCAGCAAGCCAGGGTGCAGCGTGTCGTTCTGCCCTTCTGTTAATTCAGTGCCGTGGGGGGAACCCTCTGCCCATGCTCAGAAGCACCCTAGTCTTTCTTCAAGTCTTGCCAAACTGGCTTCTGGATCAGCTTACACACTGGTCCCAAGGCAATTCCCCTCCTTTCAGAAGTACTCACACTCTTGGATGTGCTCCCTCCAAGCACGTCTAAGTTTGCGCAGAACGCATGCAGAAACGCAGAAAGCATGGAGAAACGAAAGTCACAGGCTGTAGGAGGAGTTTTGTCAGCGCCTCATTTCCTCTCTCCCCCACTCCACTCCACTCCACTCCACTGCACGGAGACCCACTTGACGGCGTCCTTTTCGGCTAGTTCTGGCCAAG